GTAAATTAGTACTTTTTTTAATAACAGTTTATTTAAAAATATAAATTTATCATAAAATAATTAAATTAATTATTTTAATTAATATTTTATATGGACACCTACATCAACAGCATAACGAAGCCTAAGTTTCAAAACCACTACTGATGTGATAAAATCACCTTAATAAATATATTAGTCGCTTTAAGTAATACATTAATGAGAAGATTGCCAAATTTATAAAGGTTGTGATTGACTAAGTACCAAAAATAATTAATCTAAATTTATTTGAACAAGTGAAAAGGAAGAAACTTTAATTAACATAATAAAAAGAAAATAACAATTAAAATAAAACTAACACAGATATGAGGCACTAAGGCATTAACTTCATCATAACCAATCAACATGGATTTTAGATTATTATACTTTCAAGATGTTACTACTTATATGATGGTGAGATTTTCTATCTTATTTGATATACTTTCTCAATTTATTCCAAACCTATTTTCACCTATTAACCAACTATATTTATATGTTAATTTAAATAGATAAAGATACATTATATTTTATAAAATTTCTTAATTTATGTAGAAGATTAAGTCTACTTATCACTAATACTGCATGAATTACATTGGTCTATCTCTAATTTTTGTTCAATTCTAATATATATTATTGGAAGTTATTGCATAAAATCTCCTCTCGATCTTAATTGTGCTCTTTATATCAATTTTAATGCTGATTAAGCATTAAAAAGTATTAAAAATAATAATATATACTCATCATGAAATAACAATTTCAAAGATATAAAGATCATAAAAACCTATGTTAAATTAATTAGGCTACATCGTAGCTCTAATTGGCTAAATTAGTTCGTAATAAAAATAATAAAACTCGAAATCATAGTTATGAATATAAAAATATCAAACAATACATAAAAATAATTTAAGAAAAATAAAACCTAATTTAAGGAAATTGAAATTTTTGATCTTTTATTATTGATAAATCTTTTATCTTAATCTCAAAGATTACCAAAAGAGGGCTGCCACCAACCTCCAAAGTTCCCCTTAATTCTAAATTTAGATGAGTATTTATAAGATTTTAGAAAACCAAATTAAAATAAAAGTGAGATCCATATAAAATGTTAAAAACCTATTGACACCCTAAAGAAAGTGGTGACATCTTCACCGTAAATGCCAAGAAGAGTCCACTACACGATTTTGGCCTTTAAAGAAATTTTAGTTAATGGTAAAATGACAATCCTAATCCCTAACTTCTAAATTCTATGCAACTTAATCCTCAGCTTCTGATATTTGCAATTTGGTGTTAAAAGTTATGATTTCTTCCAAATAACTCATTTCCTACACAAATAATAAAAATTATATAAAATCAAGTAAAATCTTATAAAATTCATCCAAATATCAATAATAACAAAGCAAAAATTCCACATTAATATGTATATAAATTCAACTCATCAACTACCAACATGTAATAGATTGAATTATGTTGGAGGGCAGTTGTTGTTGTTACATGAAATAGCTCGGGTGAAAAACGACATAACATGGCTACAATGGAGACAAATTTTGATAAGAATACCTGCAAAACTTGAGGTCGGATCTCAGGATAGACACTTTGATGCTCAAGTCAGTACCTAAGGGGTTTGAGTAAAGGTGGGCTTGTATGCTACAAAAGCTAAAGGTGTAATAAATCTACTTGAGATATGGTGGCTGGGGGAGTATTCATAGTCCTCTTAGGTTGCTTTCCATGTGGCAAATTCCTTTTATGTCAACCTTGTAGCACTATAATGTACTATAGCTCCATGGAGGTCAATGGATGTGTGTTAAATCTTGTGTCAAAGCATTTAAGATAAGGTCAGTCATGATATCATCTATCAGAAATAAAGGTGGTAAAGAGAGGTGAAGTTATTTCGATCAGCTATTCATCCTTAAGTTGGACGTTCAACCATTCACCTAGTAGTGATGTTCGAATTGGTCCCTCACACTATCCTTCCTCTAGGAGTGCTTTGGCACGTAATCATTCATTTTATCTTATTATGACTAGTGGCTCCATCAATAAAGCTTTCGATATATGGCCATTTGGGTTTGCCACGACTTGCGACTAAACAAAAAGGACTCGATCCTCGGTCATTAAGCTTGCAACGGCTTGTGGCTAAGCAAAATAACCTTTGACACATGATCATTTGGCTTTTAATGGTCCGTGGTCAAACAAAATAGCCTTCAACACATGGTCGTTTGGCTTTTAATGGCTTGTGACTGAATAAAATAGCATTCAACATGTGGTCGTTTGGTTTCTAATGGCCATGGCCCAACAAAATCGCCTTTAACATTTGGTCGTTTAGTTGTAAAAATAATTGTTATTATTGTTCGTCTTATTCTTTTAAGAAGCGAACTGGGCCTTATGACCCAATGGTTCGACCTCAAACCTTAAGTGTTTGGGTGAGGTGGTCGGAGTTTCGAGCTCCACCACCGTCGTGAACTCTACCAAAAAGCGGCTTTATGGCCGCGCGCCTCATTTAAGGGGGTGGAATGTTCACCCGGTCTGAGAACCAGTTGCTAACAATTAACTCACTAACTTTTTAACCATTACCTTTGTAAAAAAAAAAAATAATAAATAAATAATAAAAAATTCTTTTAAGAAGCAATTTTGAAAAATGTGCCTTGAGAGTGTTACAATTTACACTACTTTGACATGACTTGTAATTAATGAGTCCTAACGGTTTGCTTAGTTAAGTCATCTTTCCCCCCTTCCAAGCTAACGACTCAAACACGAGTCAGCTCTGACGAGCTGAAGGTGTAAGGTCGTAGCTCTTTTGGCTGAGGGAGACATGTGTCACACTCTAAGTGACCGTGCATTGGTGGCTGTTAGATTGGAAAGATCCTGGTCGTTGAGGGCCTTAATGAGGCCCTACGATATAAGCCTCAAGACTCCACTCCTTGGACACTTTTGCCTTTGATAAGGGTTTTGAGGGTCTCCTCATTTGTTAGTTCAGCAGATGCCAAAGTTTTGTCCAACCTCTCTCTGTATATAGAGATCTTCTGTTTTTCCATAGTTATCTTCGAGCAAACCGCAGGTTGCCTTGTCTATAATGCTCAAATGAGCAGTCAACCTGTATGATTGCACAAGCTGGTTAAAGAATTTTATTTAAATCAGCAGCCAAAACATAGTCCTCAAAAGCTATTAACTGTAAACAATTAGACAATACACTGGACCATCTCGAGGAGTAATCAACAGAAGAAAGTAGGATTAACAACAAAAATAAAAGCAAACAACAGAATCAGACCAAAGCAGCGAAAACAACAGCACATACCAGAAAACAAAGCAGCACATAATTTTCATTGATTAGAACAAATCAGTGAGATTCCAGACAACAGCAAACAGCAGAATCAGAACAAAGCAGTGAAAACAACACATCTTAAGCACATGAGAGCAAAAATCAAAGGAAGCAAAACCATCCAGCCATATAAATAATAAAAGGGGAACCGTAACCAAACTTAGCAAGAGCAGGAAAATGTTGCAAGAATTATTGAATTCACCATATTCTCATTCAAATCATAAGCATACTGTTGAAAGGAAGATTAACCATCCAACACATGGAAAAATAACCCAAAGTCAGGAAATTCACAAAGTTTCAGCTCACATGAGATTATGAGAAGCTCCGAACAAACACCAGGAACCCCAAAATCAGGAAAATGAAACCAGAAGAACCAATTCCTCAAATTCTCATTCAGAGCTGAAGCGTACATGGGTCAGAGAAGCAGATTCCTAAACCAAAAAAGTCAAGAACTTTAGAGTCACA